CAACACCATTGGTTTCCGGTTTGACTTTCTCTTCCTTGATCTGCAAACTGCTCATTGACTTGACAGCTGCCTCCTGCTCGTCCACCGCCAGGGCCCAAGAATCTGTGGCCATGGTCTCGGAGAAGAGAAAGCAACTCGAGAAAACCTGCACCACTCAGCCCTTCCACGCTCGTCCTGACCAGCAACCGGCGCGAAACCCAGCACACGAGGACCAGAAGCAGAACACAGGTTCTTGAAGTAGGTATTGATGATCTTCTGGATTTCTGCAGGATCTGTTCTGATTTTACCCTATTCATTCTGAATCGCGTGGATTTGAGTCTTTTCTTTCCTTTTGTCGATAAGGTTGGCTAAGGGTTTGCCAATTTTATTTAATCTTTCAAAAAGCCAACTCTTCAATTCATTAATTTGTTGTATTGTTTTCTTAGTGTACACGGCATTAACTTCTGCTCTAAGAATTATAATTTCCTCCATTTGTACGAGCTTTGAGTTTGGCTTGCTCTTTTTTCTAGAAGCTTGAGGATCAACATTAGGTTTGTTTATCTGACTTTGTTCAGTTTTTCTAATAGAGAAATTCACCACTATAAATTGCCCTTGTTTTTTTAAAAAAGTTTCTTTTATAGGATTGCTCTAATTGTGTTCCATAAACTCTGTATGTTGTATTGTCACTATCAAATTGTAGAAACCATCCAACTTCATCTTGACACGTGGGTTGTTCAGGATGATGTTATTTAGTTTCCATGTGTTTATGAAATTCTTGTGATTTCTTTTGCCCTTGATTTCCAATATCAGTGCAATATGGTCTCATATGTGCATGGGATGGTTCAGTTCCTTTGAATTTATTGCAGCACATTCTCTGAGTTAGTATGCAGTCTATTGTGGAGCACATCCCATGCACAGCCCAGAAGAGTATGCACCATGACGTTGGGAACACTCTACGTCTGCTAAGTCCATTTGTTTAAAAGTTTGGTTCAGCTCTGATATTTCTTTGTTGATATTTTGTCTAGTTCATCAGTTTGTGACACTGGGATATTGAGGTTCCCCCATTAAAATGCTATTAGTGCTTGTTGGATTTTCTCATGTCTGTTAATATTTTTTATACAGTTAGGTACAAGGTACTTGGTGCATATATATTTATAATTGCTATGTTTTCCTCTTTGACACTTCCATTTACAAGAATATACTGACCTTTTCTGACTCTCTTAAACAGTCGTGGCTTGAAATCCATTTTGTCTACAAACGGAATAGCTACCCCATGCTTCTTCGGGTTTCCGATCACATGGAGTACTATCGTCCATCCCTTGACTTTCAGTCCATGAATTTCTTTTTTAATCAAACATGTTTCTTCTATATTGTTGTATCTTGTTTCTTGATCCATTCTGCCAGTCTTTATCTTTTGATTGGTGAATTGAAACCATTAACATTTAGGTTGTAATTGCTACATGTTGACACATTCTTCTTTGGGTGGTTTTTTTTTTTCTTTCTTTCTTTTTTTTTTTTTTTTGCGGAACTGGGGATTGAACTCAGACCCTTGCGCTTGCCAGGGAAGCGCCTACTCTACTGAGCCATCCCCCCAGCCCAACACATTCTTGTCATATTGTTTTCCTGTTGTTGTTTTCCTCTTTGCCCTCTCTGTTCAAATGTTTGCCATGCCTGGTGGATTCATTCTGTGTTACCACTTCAGAGATCCAGGTGGGTGATTTTCAAATTGGTCCCCCCCATGAAGGGCCCCCGGGTTTGACTTAGGCGAGCTGGAGTTCTGCAATTGCACCTTGCTTGCGTGTCTTTTTATTTTTTGATTCTTAAATTTTTAATTCCTGGGTTGATGCTTGTAAATGGCTGTTGGCATGTAGTTTTGTTTTTTTTTTTTTTTTTTTGCGGAACTGGGGATTGAACTCAGGCCCTTACGCTTGCCGGGGAAGCGCTTATTCCACTGAGCCATCTCCCCAGCCCCTGGCATGTAGTTTTATGGCTAGTATTGCCCACCCTTAGGAAATAACTTTTAGAGATGTCTTCCAGATATAGCTGGCCTTTGAGCTTTGAGGCTCTTGCAAGATCCTGCTCTTTCAATGTATTGGGGATGAGATGCTGCTTCCTATTAGGCCGAGCCTATTGTTCTTGGCACTGACCTATGGTGTTATTTATAACCCTTTGGCAGTCTCGGTCTTGGCATGCTATAAAAAAAACTCATTAGAACAACTACATCACTCTGGCTAAAATAGTACAATTGCCGATAATAATAGCATCAAACACAGCCTGGAAAGTGACAGACTGTGGTTACCATTAGTTTGCCATCTTTAACCATATGAACTAGATTTGTGGTTATATAACAAAACCTAAAATGAACTAGAAAATTGTATCCAGTAAATATACCCATCGTTCTGCAACGTTACCCTGCGGAGATAAAATTTAAAAGGGGTCAGGGAGAAAAATAGAGAACTAGAAGAAGAGGGAAAGATTAGAAACAATGTTGAAAGACAAAGGAAGATTACACAAACTTTGGGAAAGTGGTGAAGAAGACTGTAGGGAGCTCTTTTTGGTCCTCGTATCAGTCCAGGAAGTTTATGTTTATAATCCCGTGGATCAGTTACTGGAATCCCTTCGAGTTACTGCCAGTCTGCCACTTCTGGTACAACCCATGGAGAGACTAAAGACACTAAGGCCTATTTATAGTTACGGGGAGCCATGGGGTCCTACGTCTGGCCGTGTGGATGGCTATCTAGAACAAAAGCCTCAACCCAGGGGCGAACGTGGGTTTCTTCAGCCATGAAGGAGGAGTGGCTTGAGGATGAATGACTGAGAATGGCAGGAAGTAGGTGACTACTGTGAGCTGGGCTGGGTAGGAGGCCCGCATTTACCTCCGTGATATGCAAAGCAGGACATGCAGAGAGTAATCTGCATTATACTATTAAGACAGTAGATAGGGCCAGCCAAAATAGCTCAGCAGATTAAAGCACCTGCTTAGGCAGACGCAGGGGCCAAGGGCTCAATCCTGGCCCTGCCATGCCGGCCCCACCCCCCGGGAGCGTGCTGAGATGGCACCACTGGGTGTGGTGCCACGTGCTGTAAGCCCAGCACTTAGGAGGCTGTAAGCAGGAGAATCACTAAAAGTCTGATCTACGTAGTGAGACCCTGTACACCCTGTAGACTCTGTACTAATTTTTTTTTCTTAAAAAAAAGATAGTATCTAATGATTTGAGGTCTGATGCTTCAGCTCTGATGTGTGATCTCCCAAGCCCCAGGAAGTCATAGCCTCTACCTATGGCTCAATCTCAGCCGACAGCATGGAGCACTTGGCTCTTTGTCCCCTCTGGACCCGGCTCATATTAAACAGCAGCAGGTGGGGATTATCAGGAAACATGAATGCCATCTTCAAAGACTACCACAGTACCTCGGCTAGACCAAAATGTATTGCTTAAAGCATTTGAAAGGATAAGGACCAGTCCTAGCCGGCTCTCTACCTATCAACACATGGAAATAGGGTCAGGCTCAGCCAAAATGGAAACAATTGCTCTTCTTTCAAGGGGAGTCACCCAGGTGGTGCTCCACAGAGGACAGAAGGGAAAGAGAAAAAAAAAAGAAACAAAAACAAGAACAGAACAACAGGAAACTAGAAACAGCTGAGCACAGTGCCGCGCATACCTATAATTCTAGCACTTGGGAGGCTGAGCAGGAGAATCCCCATGAATTCAAGGCCATCCTGGACTATAGAAGCAGGCTCAAGGCTAGCCTGCACTATTTGTGAGACCCTGCCTCAAGAAAAAAACACTAGAACAACATTAACATTCATATAAAAATAAGAACCATCAGGGAAGAAAGTAAGAGAATAAAGGATTAAAAAAAAGTGTCCATTTTAAGGCTTGTCTGTGCTGTTACTAGTATGTGCAGTGGACAGACAGAGCCCAGATCCAGCCGTAGGTTTGTGGCAGGGTAGTGGATAATCCCAACATAGTTCCACAGAAGTTCAGGCTGGGTTCCGGCTGTGATGCGCAACCCAATTTGTTTAGCCTGCAACACTCTATGTGTCTCCTGTCGGTGGCACTTGGCTCCTTGAGCACTTGCCAGCGTGAACTCTGTCCCACCCCACGCTGACACTAGGAGCTGCCAGGTGGAGCCAGCCTGCAGCTGCTCCGATTTCCAAGCTTAGTTTGCCTCTTTCCAAGGTGGCCACTGGCCAATCTCCCTCTCCTGGGGGACATCTGAACCTCAGTAACTCACCAGCCGCTCCAGTCCGCTGTGTCCACTGTTCTGTTCCAGTGATGCGTTTCTCCACAGGGCCTCTGGGGTCACTACTAGTCACAGTGCACGTGCGAGTGGGTGCTCCTCCTCCCGCACAGTGGGTCAGGGGTCAGGGAGAACGCTGCCTAGCTACCTTCTCCTCTGTCTTGAGGTTTGTCTCTTCACTCTCCCTATGACTGTGAGTCCTCACTTCAGATCCTTGCTGGGTCCTCAGTACCCATGTCCCTTCTTCTCTTCTTCATGTTGCTATATTCCAGTGTCTGGACACCAAATCTCAGAGAGGTTGTTTCTCTGCTGTTCAGCCCTCTGTCATCTTCCACTTGCCTAGTTTTTGATTGGGTAGTTTATTTTGAGTGGTCTAATTTTTTTGTGTGTTCTTTGTATTTCTAGATACTAGTCCCCTGTCTGAGGAATAGATAGCAAAAGTTATTTCCTGTGGGCCGGGGAGGTAGCTCAGTAGAATAAGCACCTGCCTGGCAAGCGCAAGGTCCTGAGTTCAATCCCTGGTACTGAAAAAAAAAGTTGGGGCTGGGGAGATGGCCCACTGGAATAAGTGCTTCCCTGAAAAAAAAAGTTATTTCCCTCTGCTGATTATGTCTTTTGCTATGTAGAAGCTTTTTAATTTTTTAAATTTGATGTACATTTCCTACTTTTCCCCTCTATTTAACTCCTTGCTTTGCTTGGTAGTTCCTTTCTGTTGTTGTTGAAGTTGTGGTCATTTCTGTTTCTTTCTAGAATATCTATCAGTACTCTTTATAGGGTTGGCTTAGTGATTATGAATTTCCTCAGTTGTTCTTTGTCATGCAAGTATCTTATCTCTTCATTAAATTTGATACATAGTTTTGCATGATACATCAATTTGAGTTGGAAGTCTTT